TAGACTCCAAAACAGTTCCCCATCCATTACAAATAGAAATACAGCAGGATTCCCCCTGGATCTGTGGGATCAGTATCTGTTGATTCGCTTATCCACGGTCTGAAAATATTACAAATATTAAAAGAAAAATCCTAGAAATATGTATATTTATAAAGATGAAGTTACCCGAACTGGCCACTAGAGGCAGCCAGAGACTATGCTATGTTTAGCGTTTGCTATAATCTGGTGGGGTGGCCTTGGACCCAATTCCCCATGGATATGGAGGTCCTGCTGTAATGTGAACCTGTGGAGTTCTCAGTGCTGTTGGACTGTTCTTATGATGTGCTGTCAGGCTTAACAGCATTTTCAGGATATGTGAAATACCCAAGGAATGTTTTGCCATTGCCAGGTCTTCCCCACACCTCCATGAATTTCCTTCATCAAGCGGAGATTTGATCACTAGTTCAGTGCTCTATCTACTACACCACACTAGATCTTGCTGTTGGGCTATGTTTGCCATAACGCCCGACGGATAGAGAACTGCTGGGATGCTCAGGAGGAGTAGCTGGGAAACTGTCACTGCTTACCCCCTCCCCCTATATATTGCATTAAATGGTTCCTCCCGCTGTTGAATAGGAGGGCCGGCCATGTCAACAAGCCAAGAATGCAGGCTTCAACCAGCCCACCCTCCCCTACCTTTCCGATTTTCTTTTTCCATGACAAGACTTTCAGCCTCATCTTACGTGTGCTTAGTCAAACCATCTTCACTGGGACCTGTTCCCCAGTAGGCAAAGTTTGGAAAAGTTTTATTTTAGACTAAAACTTCCAGAATTCCCCAGTCATTGTGGCTTTTGGGGGATTATGGGAGCTTTGATATGAAATGGAAAATTTCAAGCTCTGCTGGGGAAATTTGGTATTGCACCCCTCCTGCATAATTTGCGATACTGCACTCCCAAGCCAACTACACCAGAGCATAGGTTGCTGTCCTCTGAAGATGCCGGCCACAGAGACTGGTGAAACGTCAGGAAGAACAGCTTTCAGAACACGGCCAAAGAGCCTGAAAAACCCAGAACAACCATTAGATCCCGGCCGTGAAAGCCTCCGCGAATATAGCTCCCTACGTTGTTGCACTCACCACACTAGGTTTGATTTTAAGATGAGGTTGTCTCCAAAATGCCTTTTGGATCTATATTCCACCTTTCTCTTAAAGATGAGGCTCAAGGTGGTTCACAATAACAGCATCGAAAGAAGAATGTGGCTAAAACCACTGAACAGGACAAGTATAGTAAAACAAAATTAAACTAAAATAAATATTTAAAATGACCAAAGCAAACCAACAAAGAATAAGAGAATAGAACAACACCCCAATGATAAGAAGCACAAGCCTCAACCTCAGCAGCTAGATGCGTAGCTGCCAAGGGCCTTTGCCTGCTGGTGGAAGGACAACAGGAAAGGGCTAGGTTGTGTCCGACTTCCTCTTCTTTAAAAAAAGCGGGAAGGTCAGGTTGTTGCTATTCAGAGTTAGAGAAACTCAGGCCCGCTCCCCCTCACCGGCACACGGCTCACTTTGCAGCACCTGATTGATTTTGCATCATTGTTGAAAAGGCAGGGGGAGCTCCGTAGAAGACGCCCTAGATGTGCAGAGAATTTGCGTATACATAAAAGATTCGGTCTTTGACGCACTTCGGAAATAAGCACGAACCCACCTCTGTAGGCGGAGGGGTAGGGAGGGGGAATACTGGTCTGCTCTGATAGTGCAGTGCCTTGAGCAAGTTCTCTCTTGGCACCCTGTAAAATACTGAGCTTTGGGAAGGGATTATTTATGTGTGCAACAACTCTAGAATCCCCCAGCCAGCATGGTCACCGGAGACCATGACTGGGATGTCCAAAGGTGTCTGCAAGTGTTGAGTTAAAGGTGTTGGTCTGTCTGTGGAACTGCACCACACGGTGCTGACCTCAACTTTCCAAGCCTCCTCGATGCATCTGCTTGGAATGTCTGCTGTGCCAATGTAGTTGGCAATCAGCCTCGTGGCACCTTAAAGACTAGCGAGTTGTATCTGGTGTAACCTTTTGTGCTCTAGAGCAGTGGTTCCCCAACCTTGGGCCTCCAGGTGTTCTTGGACTACAACTCCCAGAAGCCTTCACCACCACCTCTGCTGGCCAGGATTTCTGGGAGCTGAAGTCCAAGACCATCTGGAGGCCCAAGGTTGGGGACCACTGCTCTAGAGCCCTCCTGCATCTGGTGCACTAGGCTCCTGTCCAATGAAAAACATGTGCCAAATGAAACGGGGTGGTTTTTAAGGTACAGGTTAATCCCAAGCAGAGTAGATTTAGTGAATCAATGAAATTCTACTTGTTTATATTTAGCACATGAAGAGCTGGTAGAGCTCAGTGGGTTGGAGCTGTGAAGCCAGGGTCCAGAAGTTGGAATTGCACCATGCCTTCTGGGAAGAGGCTAGCTGAGATTATTTGCCACAGACATAGCTGATGCTTTATACCTATGAAACCTTGGGAGGGTTACCATAAATTGCAATTAGCTTCACAGCCTGTAGGTATAATTATTGGTTGTTTTGGGTTTTTCAGGCTCTTTGGCTGTGTTCTGAAGGTTGTTCTTCCTAACGTTTTGCCAGTCTCTGTGGCTGGCATCTTCAGAGGACAAGAGTAGCACTCTGTGCTCTGGTGCAGTTTGTTTGGGAGCCGAGTATTTATAGCTGTGGGATCAGCTTTTGTCCTTTTCAGGAGATGGGTGATTTTGGTGATCAGTGTGTTTTTGTTGTGGGTGCATTGTTGTGATAAGGACAAGAGATGATCTCTCACTGTGATTGATGGGTGCTGTTAGCTGGTCTTTTGTGTGTAGTGATCACCGGTCCTTGGGGCTGGGTAGAGTTCGTTGACCTTTTGCAGGCTGTATTTTTTAATATAAGTATAATTATTATTTAACACATCAAAATTTCAGACATAAACATTAACTTCCCAAGTTTCCATTGATTCAATGTATTTACTGTTCTTGGACTAAGAATTAGATTTAGTTCTGTTTGTACTATGAGATTGATCATATGATCCATTAATAGAAACAGAGCAGAAAATAGTACCTTTATTGACTCTTCCCTCCTCTTTTGACCCTTCTATACCATTTTGTCGATCTTATGAATATTGATTCACGAAGGCCAATGCAGATATGCTGCCCCTTGTTTTCCTAGAACGCCAATGCAAAGGAATTCCATAAGATGAAAGGGATTGTTCCTTTGACCAAAAATTGATTTAAATGTTGGCACATGTCACACTTCACTGTCCCCTGTTTGTAGCAAGAGGATGCAAGACTCTTCAGGCCTGTTTTAGAATAGTACCTAGGAAAATCTGATCTAAGACAAACCTAGAGTATTACTCTCAGTTACAGGTAACTTTATTACATTTCGAATAGCAAGGTTTATGTCTATGCTTATAAAAACAAAGTCTGTACCCTCAACTACTGACCAAGTTGACAGCTAGATTATTGCCACTCAGGATCCTTTGTTATTATTTCTGATACTGTTAATGATTTTGTCGTTCTATTGTTGTTGTTTAGTGGTTAAGTCATGTCCGACTCTTTGTGACCCCATGGACCAGAGCACGCCAGGCCCTCCTGTCTTTCACTGCCTTGCTGTTGTTCTATAGTTAAATGCTATATAGTTAAATATATTAATTGAATTGATGCTTATGCTTAGATCTGTACATTTTATAACTTGTAAGTTTGATTAGAAGTGTAATTCAATTTTTCCCCATTGCATTGTACTGTGTTAATTTTCTATTGTGTATCCTGCTGTGTGCTGTGCAAAAAAACTGGATTCAATTTGACTCGAATCACTAAAAAGGTACAGTGGGGTCTCTACTTAATGTGTGCTGTGCAAAAAAACTGGATTCAATTTGACTCGAATCACTAAAAAGGTACAGTGGGGTCTCTACTTAAGAACATCCCTACTTAAGAACAATCCAACTTAAGAACAGCTCCATTTGCTAAATTTTGCTTCTACTTGAGAACAGAAATCCAAGATAAGAACAGGAAAAAAAAACCTTTCCTGCTCTTTTTTTAACCTTAGGTCATCTTAGGTTAAAAAAAAAGTCTCCCCATAGTGGTAGAGTACGTATTAACCAGCTTTGGTTAATGTACGAACGCACCTCTACATAACAAAAAAACAGCCAGAACGGATTCCTTGTTCTATTGTTGTTGTTTAGTCCTTAAGTCATGTCCGACTCTTTGTGACCCCATGGACCAGAGCACGCCAGGCCCTCCTGTCTTTCACTGCCTTGCTGTTGTTCTATAGTTAAATGCTATATAGTTAAATATATTAATTGAATTGATGCTTATGCTTAGATCTGTACATTTTATAACTTGTAAGTTTGATTAGAAGTGTAATTCAATTTTTCCCCATTGCATTGTACTGTGTTAATTTTCTATTGTGTATCCTGCCGTGTGCTGTGCCAAAAAGCTGGATTCAATTTGACTCGAATCATTGAAAAGGTAGAAAGGAAATGAGCTTTAAAGTTCTCCAGAACTCTTCATTCAGCAAAGATGATATAGCAGTCTTAGACCTGGATTCAAGTCTTTGTTGGAAATTTTGCTTCAACTTAAGAACATTTCAACTTAAGAACACCATTCCAAAACGGATTAAGTTCTTAAGTAGATGTTCCACTGTAGTTTCTATGGACGGAAAAGAGCAGATACGGATTAAATGGTTTTCAGTGCATTCCTATGGGAAATGCAGATTCAACATAAGAACTTTTCAACTTGAGAACCACCTTCCAATACGGATTAAGTTCTTAAGTAGAGACCCCACTGTAGAAAGAAAACGAGCTTTAAAATTCTCTAGAACTCTTCATTCAATAAAGATGATATATCAGTCTTAGACCTGGATTCAAGTCTTTGTTAAGTGTTTTTACCACAAGGGATTAATACGGCTACCTTTTGAAAATACCTGTTCTGCCAATGTTTGGCTTCAGTAATGATGACTCTTCTCTGTTTGTGTGTCATTGTTATGTTTTAGGCCGTTGTTCTCACCCAGCGGCCAACATGGACCAAGAGCACTGACCTGAAGTACCAGCCTGGTAAGTGCCAACATAGTGGGTGGTCGAGATGGGCTGGTTGCTGTTGAAACGAAAGTGGAGTGGAATAAATGAATTTTCTTCCTAAGTTGGTAATTATTTTGCTGAGGACCTGTGTCTCTGTGGGACAGCTGCAAAAGGCCACGACAAGATGCTTTGCATCCTGCAGTATCCATGCAGGCACCTGTTACACCGGCATCCGTAACCATGCAAAAATGTAGGGAATTATTGCTGATCCATATCAATAGTTCCTCCAGCAGGATCAGGTGTTTTGTGAAGCTAATGGATCCTAATTGACCCTTGTAGAGCTCACCTCTCCAAAATACTTCTTTTTGCAAGTACTACTCACAACAGGATAACTGCTTTGGGAGAAATACATTCCTCCTGCTTGCTCCACAGCGACTCATGAGGGTAGCAGCTAAATTCAGAGGAACAAAGAAAGCTTGGTAGTGGTGACGGAAGACAGCATCGTCATCAGCCCTGCTCAATGAGATGCCCAGGCATTTCAACCCTATAAATACGGACACACATAGCTACGGACCAAGGCAGATGACTGCATTTTAACTGTTCTTGAAGTGTGACGAGGGGGTGCTGTTAGAGTAAGTACTTGCTGTATGCTTCAAAAATTTACCAGCACAGCACTGCTTAGGAGTGCAATTAGCCCAGAAAGAAAGCGCAACGGAGGGAGCTGTTTTGCAGAAGAAGCTCTCTGGGTGGCCACACAAGGAGATGATTGAAGCCACCTTTTGGCATCTGTTAAATAATTTGGGCTGAGTTTGGGAATTGTTTGGGACTCCAGTTGACAAAATCCCCCCCCGGCAGAAGCCAAGAAATGATTGGGGTATGGGAGGCAGCCCACAGCTGCCTCTGGTGTACCTTTCAAAAGCTGCCTGCATATTTCCTGACTTGCATCTAAGAAAAATGTGCCTGGTAAAATCTGAGTAAAATCTATCTTACCATGAATGTTCCGACTTTACATTCTTCATACTGGTACAAGCCAGTTCTTCATACTGGTACATTATGATTTTTGTGGTTTATAAAGGTATCACCTACTCTTGCATGTGTATTTTAGTTTGAATTGGCCGCACAGCTCCCTTTTATTTCAATCTTATTGCATAAATCACTGCCCATTATTTGTTTTATTTGAATTACTTTACATATTTACTTGGTTTCCTTTCTGATCTTACTGGGGTATGGGGGGGAGGGCAGTGGGAGAACCTTTCCTTAAATATCTTACGTACCTTGAAAATGTTATTAGGGTATGTGTAAGTAAGTTGGATGTGACTTGATAAGGCATAACAGTAAATCAGATTTTACCTCTGGGAGGCTACATAAACATGCTGTTTCTACACCTGGACATAGCTAAAGTAAATGGGTGTGTGTGTGTGTGTTTGCGTGTGCGGGTGTGAGTTCATATACAGTATACAGTGGTGCCCCACTTTACGATTGCCCTGTATTACGACGAAACCGCATTACGACGCTGTTTTTGCGATCGCAAACCGATGGTCTGAATAGGGTTTTTTTGCTTTGCGATGATCGGTTCCCTGCTTCGGGAACCGATTCTTCACAAAACGACGATTTTTGGACAGCTGATTGGCAGTTTCAAAATGGCCGCCAGGTAAATAAAATGGCTCCCCGCTGTTTTCTGGGACAGATTCCTCGCTGTACAGGCCCCGAAAATGGCCGCCCTATGCAGGATCTTCGCTGAACTGTAAGTTTCCAGCCCATTGGAACGCATTGAAGGGTTTTCAGTGTGTTTCAATGGGCTTTTTATTTTCGCATTACGATGTTTTCATTCTACAGCGATTTCGCTGGAACGAATTAACGTCGTAATGTGAGGCACCACTGTATGTAGAACTTTACAGTCACATAGAAGAGGAAAAAGAGAGAAGTTGTCATTGTTTTGTTTCTGTGAGGCCACAAACAGAACTTAGAGATGCCTTCAGACTGGAAGAGAAGGATTTTTGACTGTCTGTGTGTCACAGAAGAAGCTTTTCTCACCTCCAGGCCTGCGTGATTAACTTCCTTTGTGGTTTGTTTAGTGATTGACTTTCAGGGCTTAAGCAAGGGGCTGCTTTGAAGTCTGATTTCACCCGAGTGTCTCTGTCACTTCTCCGCAACATCAAGATGCTTTCAGCTCTAATTACAGGCTGTCTCTCGCATCTGTTTCTGACTTCAGAATCACAAAATGATAGGTTTAGTGCGCAAGAGGGTGTAATGAGGAGGTTGAGGTCCCTTAAGCCAAATTTGCTACCTGGTATGGCATGCAAAGTTCATAAGTAGCATTTCCAGACGCATCGAGAAGTCTCTGGATCATATCTGAGACATACGGAGAGTGAGAGCGCGAGAGCACACTAGCTTACTGGTTGTGATATTGTCTCCCTGCATTTTCATACACCTCCCCCTTCCCGCCCCACCAGGCCTCTGGTCAGCTTGCTCTCTAGTATCCCACTAACCCAGGGCTGGTGTCAGCAGGTGGCTGCGTTGTCTCTGTCATTCCGAATTAAGAGATCCCCCTCCCGCTGGCTGCTCCGTGCTTGTCCATGTGCTTCCCCTGTAACTTTGTTCCTCTACTGCATACAGTACCAGACTTTGCCTAAGGGTCTGTCTGGGTGCAGTCTGACCCTCCTCTCTCTTTCCACAAGGTCGGGAAGGGTCTGCTGACTGCAACCAGCAGGAAGGGCCACGAGTATTATAACCATATCATCATCACTACCATCCCCACCAATTCCTGGACAAATTAAAAAAAAATCTCCTGCCATTCACACTGTCATTTGCGTGTCCTGGAGGTCACAACACACAACACACTGAGAATTGGCTAGGATAGGAGAGTGTTCTGATTTTCCTTCTGCTTCTTTTTCTCTCTCCTCCCCCTCTTGCTTTTGTTGTTTTGAGTCTATACTCCAGATGGCTAAGAAAGATCAGAAGGCATTGAATTTATGTCCCTTGGATTATGGAGAATTGCCACCCAGCTGACAAATGGTTAAACTTCCCCAAAATGCATGGATGCGGCAGGCTTTCTCCCTGCCTGCTTCCCCCTTCCCAAGATGATTATGCAGCCAATTAAGTTGCTCCTTAATTCCTGGCATCCAAAATATTTTCATCTTTGTGGTGGGCTGATCCTGGAAACCATGCATACCTATGCACCTGTAGCCACTTTGTTTTTATAATTACACCCACTGGTTTAGTGAACAGAGGCAACATTGGGCTGGAGCATTAGGACTTTTTGATTAATGAGGATGATGGTACAGTATATCACCCACCGCTGTTGGCTCCCCGGTTTCTTCTAATTTTAGCTGTGAGCAGGGGAATTTGTCTGACAAATGCAGATCAATTCAGATATGCCTTATGAGCTAAACGCTGCACATTATTTTGTCATGGATTGGTCTTGAATAGGCAGTGCAGACCCTTTAGCTCTACAAAAGACCTGCTCCTGACGCAGACAAAAACTGTTATCGCTCTTCATATGGAACAACAAAAGTCTCTGTATTTCAGTTTTCTACTTGGGGGCTTGGGAGCCTGCATTTCCAAATGAACCACTACATCATTGATGACTGTTGAGCATGGGAGAATGACACGGGAAGCCGTTTCTCCACGGCCATCTTCCATTTGGTTGATATACCAAAAGCGGGTATAATGCAACATTTCCCCAGTTTCCAAGGAGACACAACCAGGTCCCGTGGTATTCTCAACACTGAAGTGGGTTGTTATGTGTGTATCTCTTCCCCGCAGCATGACAGCTGCCACTGATAGCGCATGTCTTCTACACTGGCCAGTAGAAACAATACTGCTCCATTTACTAGGATAACTGGACACCATATAGTTCTTATCCAGGTTCTGAGATGTGTCCACGCTACTTCCAGTGACCTCAGATATGGCCGCAGTTCCCTGAAGGTAGACAGGATTCCACTAGTAAACATTAAAGTGATTTGCAGCAGGTGGACAAGTATTTCCAACTCTGAGCTCAATAATATGACAAAATAACTCCCCTGCTCCCACTCTAAATTATACTGCTGACATCAAGAAAACGTGAAGGAATGGATTTTCGTGTGAAAAGGGGGAGGGACTTTCAGAGGTCTGAAGGCCAAACACACACCTGGTGGGGGGGCTATACCTGTTTCTGTACCCCCACCCATATTTTTTTTCTTTTAAAAAGTTGTTTTTAAAAATTTTAAAACCTGCCATGCCTTGTAATGTTACGAGGACTGGAGAAGACCTCCTTGCAACAGGGTAGGATCTGAGCATGCTTCAATGGGACAGTAGCAAGATTGAAAAAAAAAACCCTCTTTGGATCCCATGGTATTTGATAGCACCCAACCGATCTCCAGTCTTTCATTCTTGGGCAATGTTGTGGGTTGTGGCTCTCCGCTCCAAGAGGTCCTGGATGAAATGGATTCTCTAAATCCATTTCAGTTTGGCTTCAGGCCTGGTTATGGGATGGAGACTGCTTCGGTCACCTTGGTGGACCATCTATGCTGGGAACTGGACAGGAGGCGTGTACCATCTCTATGCTGGGAACTGGACAGGAGGCGTGTGTCCCTGTTGGTTCTGCTGGACATTTCAGCAACTTTCATCAACAATGCTAACCTGCTAGGCTGCCTCCCTGGGATGGATCTGGGAGATACCGTTTTACCTCCTCTCCCTTGGAGGGGAGAATTCAGAAGGTGGTACTGGGGGGACTCCTGTTGGCCTCTGGTGTCCCCCAGGGTTCTGTTTTATCCCCTATGCTCTTTGACATGAAACCACTTGGAGAGCTTGTCCAGAGTTTGGGGGATCAGTGCCACCAGTACACTGATGCCACTCAATTCTATCTCTCCTTTCCGTTTAAATCCAAGGAAGCTGTTCCAGTTCTAGATCAGGGTCTGGTGTCAGTAATGGACTGGATGAGGGTGAATAAACCGAAACTTAATCTAGACAACACAGAGGTGCTCCTGGTTAGTCAAAAAGCAGATCAAGGAATAGGGTTGCAGCCTGCGCTGGATGGGGTTGCGCTCCCTCTGAAAACACAAGTGCACGGCTTGGGCGCTCTCCTGGACTCATCCCTGAGCCTGGATGTCCAGGTTTTGGTGGTGGCCAAGAATGCCTTTGCCCAGTTAAAACTATTATCTTTTGGAAGGTGTTCAGAAACTCCAACAGGTCCAAAATGGAGCAGCCAGATGGCTAACTAGGGCTGGTTATTGGGATCACATAAACTCCCCATTACAGCAACATTTTGGAAGGTGTTCAGAAACTCCCAGCAGGTCCAAAATGGAGCAGCCAGATGGCTGACTAGGGCTGGTTACTGGGATCACATAAACTCCCCATTACAGCAGCTCCACTGGCTGCTGATCCGTTTCTAGGCACAAATCAAAGTGCTGGTTTTAAGCTATAAAGCCCAAAAATGGCTTGGGCCCAAGCTATCTAAAAGATTATATCTTCCTTTATGAGCCTTCCCCAGGTATTAAGATCATCAGGGCAGGCCTTTCTCTTAGCCCCACCATCACCTTCACAGGTTCATTTGGTGGAGACATGGGAGAGGGCCTTCTCTGTGGCTGCTCCCAGACTCTGGAACTCCCTCCCACTGGAGGCCAGACTGGCCCCACCTTTGCTGTCCTTCTGCAAGCAGGCCAATGACCTCTCTCTTCAGGCAAGCATTCCTTTAAATGACCAAGTTTTTTTTTAAAAAAGGAATTATTATATTCTGTTGTTTTACTTGTACTGTACTTTTAGACTTGCTCTTATTTACAGGTTTTAATATGACATCTGTTTAATTGTTTTAAAATATTGCAATAATGTATTATTTTAGCTTTTAACTTTGTTTCTTTTAATGCTGTAAACCAGCTTGGATCCTTTAGGAGAAAGGCAGTGTATAAATATTTTAAATAAATAAATAAGTGGCCTCTTTTTAAAACAGCAGTGGCAGCAAGACAGGTGACCTCCTCTGCCCCCAGAGCCCCAAAGCATTTTTCTTTGAAATAAATCATTTTGAGAGTAGGGGGGCTGCACATGCCTAGTCTGGTCCTAGAAAAACTATGAATTTCATTAGTTTTGTATGCAAAAGACCTGGACCCAGAAAAGTGACATTTAGGGCTCCCCTTGGCCATCGGTCGGCATGGCCTGCTCCAAAAAGAATTTGTGGGCTCTGAACCCATCAGAAAAAAGTGCCTTTTTTCACCAGGGAGAGCGTGAGGGCTCAGTCTGGGTCTTTCTGAACCTTTTTGCAAGCATTCTTTGCGATCTGCCTGGCCTTCTGAATCTAACCTTGTCTCCCAGCCCGTATGCCTTCCTATAGCTGGCATGCCAGCTATGTTGCCACGCAACCAAAAGAAAAGAGTGGGAGGGGGGGAAAAACCCAACACCTTGCATTTAACAGTCCTTGAGAAGAACAAAGCCTGCACAAGCCCTTGTTCCTCCCTCCAGGCAGAATCAGGCAGAATTGCCTGCCCTGTTGGTTGCTTGTGCCCAGCTTTGAATATCTAGAGAACCGGCCATAAGGCTGACTTTTCCTGGACCGGATGGATGCTCAACGCAGAGTAACTGGAGCCCTTAAAACTGCACTCCTGTATCTCATCTATGCTTAACATGAGGGGTCCAGCCTTTCTCTCTCCTACCATGCCACAGACCACCCATGACTATTGTCTTTGTTGATAGTATTGTCAGTACAACAAAGGCTTGTTTCAAGGCACTGGCTTTGTTGCTACAATTTCACCTTCAACATATCTGAAAACAAGCCCGTGCTTGTACATTCAACCCCCCCCATCCCGTCCTGCCCTATCAAAACAGTGTGTTTTCGACCCAGTACTGCAGAGGTAGGCAGTCTAGTACCCTCCAGAGGGTTTGGACTACAATTCCCATAAGCCCCAATGAATCCATCTGATGTCAGGAATGCTGGGCATAGCAGTCACTGCTTGGGAAACTTCGTTTTTCGAACCACAACTCCCAGAATCTCTCTACATGGCATGGCATGCCGGTTGGGGGATTTGGGGAGTCGTGGTCTGAGAAAGTAATTTTTCCAGGCTCTCAGAACATCTGGAGGATGCAGGTTGCCTATTGCACATAAAAAGTGCGCAATGGTTCACGGCCCTTCTCGTTCTTCACTCATCGTTTTTCTCGCCCGCGTGCTCCTCTCCTCTCCAACTCCGGCAGGTGGTGCCTGGCAATGGGTTGTGTGCAATGCAAGAAGAAGAAGGCCAATAAGAACCAGAGTAATGGCGGCAGTGATGGGACGGCGAACCCTACCACCAGCTCCTGCTACGATCCTGACCCCGTCCAGCCGAACACCTTCACGCGGATCCCCGATTTCAACAACTTCCAGGGGACGCCCGGGCCTTCCACTCCTGCCCTCATGGGGGGCTCTGGGTTATACCCCACCCCCTCTCTGAATATGCACGGAACTGGGATTGCAGGTCTGTCCCTCATGTAAATAAAACCACAGCTGAGCAGAAGGGCAAGGGTTGTGGGGGGGGGACTCTGATACGGTGGGGAAGCCTTCGTAGCTTTCTTTTCTTGCTCATCTATGCAGTGGTGCCTCGCTAGACAGTTACCCCACAAGACAGTTTTTTCGCTAGACATTGACTTTTTGCAATCGCTATAGCGATTCGCAAAACAGTGATTCCTATGGGGGAATTTTGCTGGACAACGTTTGGTCCCTGCTTCGCAAACTGATTTTTGCTAGACGACGATTTTGGCAGCTCCCTCCGCGCTAACAAAACGGGTGTTTTCAGGAACCTAAGACAGCAATTTAAACAGCTGATTGGCAGTTCGCAAAGCGGCTTTCCTATGGCCGATCTTCGCTAGACAACGATGATTCTTCCCCGTTGGAACACATTAAACAGGTTTCAATGCATTCCAATGGGGAAATGCTTTTTGCTAGACGATGATTTCGCTAAACAGCTATTTCAGTGGAATGGATTATCATCATCTAGCGAGGCACCACTGTACACCTTTTGGTGTGTGGGTTGGCGTTGGATGTATCAGGCCGCGACTTCCATTTTTGTATTGTGTATAAATCAGCCTTTATTCAACCAGAGGCCTCCAGATTTTGCGGAACACAAACCACGTCATCTTCCAGGCATTATGCTGGCTGAGGATGACAGGACATGTGGTCGCACATATCTGGAGGACCTCAGATTGCCTTAAGCAATGTCTGTTCAATCTCTTGAATGGAAACAAGAGTGGTTGGTGGCATTTCTGTAGGGCAGCTATGAAGCAGCTGCAGTCATAGGTAATGCCCACCCCCTCAGGGGACAAGGTTGTTTACAACTGTACAGTACTGGTTTGCTGGGTTTCCTCACAGCCCTTCTGCTGATGCCCTTTAGGTGGAGGAGTGACCCTTTTTGTTGCCTTGTACGACTATGAAGCCAGAACAGAGGATGACCTGACTTTTACGAAAGGGGAAAAGTTCCACATAATCAATAATACGTGAGTATTGAGTCGGATGGTCTCACAGCACATGATGCAGTGGCCTGATTGAAGCAAAGCTGCCCTCATGGAAGGTCCCCTGGACTCCTCCTGCAAACACAGACGTTGCTGCCAGTTCTGTTGGGGAGGAGAGAGTTGGATGCTGTGGTAGCCAGAGTGGTGGGCCACAACTTTGGAGACTTAGGCTCACATCCTGACTCAAGCATGGAACACGCTGGGTGACCTGGAGCAGTCATGGTCTCTTGACCTTACCTACCTCACTGTGTTGTCATGAGGATGAAGTGGGAAGGAGGACAGCCATAGGTGCTGCCATGAGCTTTTTTGGAGATAAGAGGAATTCAGATGTAACGAATTAAAATAAGAGCAGAGAAATATAGATGAGATGAAATGCAATAAACAAAACATCTACGCATGATGGAAAGGAAGACTCGAATTTTCTTACTGTGTAGCCATATACGTGGATGAAGAACAGCTGTGTAGCAACTGGAACAAGCAGTAATATAAGAAACACAACCCTGGGGGAAAGAGTATGTGGTTATTTGGCCATTTTGTATCTCCTCTTCTTTTTCTTCTTCTTTCTCTTTATACTGCTTGATATAATGATGGCAGAATTGTATGGGTTATTTACACCAGTGTTTGTGCAATGGTGTCACTTGCAGCAGGAATTGCCACTAATTAATGGGTCGCTGCTTGTATCTCTTCTTGCATGGCAGTTGCGGGAGTTGATGCGAGACAAAATACACAATTTATTTACCGAATTTTTATAAAGCCTGATTAGTGATGAATACTACTCTGGGTGGTGTATTTACTTATTGGATTTATACCCCGCACCATCTGGCAACCAGGCAATTAAACAAGCAGGCCTCAACCAGCCTATTCACAACAAACAATGTGAAACAGGAAACATTAACAAAAAGAAAATCCTGCCCAAAACAGATAAAAAATTATTTCAATGGCAATATCCAAGAAAGGGAAAGAAGTCACAAAGTGTTATGGATATGAAAATCCTACCTATGGCAGTGTATTCTTTAAGGCAATTTTAAAGAGTTCTGCCTTAGCTAGTTTCTACATACTTAAGAAGGTAGGGGCTCGGAAATATGTTCCATAGGGAGGGGGCCAGCACCGAGAAGGCCCAATTCCTCACCTCTCAGTTGTGAAGCCTAGGAAGAATGAGTGAAATTGATAGGGCTTGTTGTTCGTTCGTTTGTTTTGGAGGGCCATGTAGGTCAAAACCAGCACCTTGAATTGGGCACAAAAACTAACAGGGAGCCAATGTAGGTGGCCAATGCAAGTTGGGATAATATGATTGAATTTACATGCCCCTAAATCAGTCTGGCCATTGCATTTTGGACCTGCAGAAGCATCCATAATGTCTTCAAGGGCAGCCCCACAGAGAGAGAGCATTGTAGTAATCCATTCTTGAGTTTACTAGTCCATGTAGCAACATTGTTAGGGATTTCCTGTCCAGCAGTGGCATAATTTGGCAGTCACTCAACGTTGGTGAAAAACAGTCGTGGCCATATATGCAGTGACTCATTAACTAGCAGCAATTCGCTGCTGCAGTTTTATGTCATGGCCAGTGTAAATAACCAGTAGGATTCCAGCCAAGGTCTAAAAACAATTTACGGTATAAAAACTGCACAAAACAGCTTAAAATAATTTTCAAAGAAATGTGTAATAATAAACGGATTTCAGTGGGCAGGGTAAGAGATACACGAATCCGTACATCACAGAAGGTGTTGAAAGAAGAAAACAAACGATGCAAGCATTGTTTTATACCTTGTTTTGTTCCTGTATATTCTTTATTTAAACATCCTACACTAAGATATGAATTCTCTAAATTTTATGTGTTTATTCATATTCTGTCAAATGGACCTGGGCATCCTTTTTTTTTCCTGGTAGGTGACAGATCCATTTAATTGGTGTATGGGTTTTTCTCAGATGAAGTGTCTCTGTTCTTTTCAGGAGTATCCATGAAATTCTGTGAAAGGTTTGAGCGAGCTTTCCTTTCTTTTTCATCTGGCATGTTAGTTGTATTCGCCTGCTGGTTGCTCTCTGGAAGCGCACATGTTTTCCCCTGCGCATTGACCTTTTCCCCTCATGTTTCTTCAGGGAGGGCGACTGGTGGGAGGCAAGGTCCCTGAGCACAGGCGCAACAGGCTACATTCCCAGCAACTACGTGGCCCCTGTGGACTCCATCCAGGCAGAAGAGTATGTATGGACATCCGGGAGCATGATGGGGGTGGGTGATGGGGGTGGTGCAAAGGATCCAGCAGTATTTGGCCAAACTTCTCCACCATGAAGGAAAGTTCTGCCTTGGTGTTAGCATTCCTGACAGAGGAAAGGGGCTTCAGAGGGCCACACACCTGCTTTCCCTTTCCTTCTCTAGTTTTCATTGTGTTGCTTTTTTTTTGGGTCAGTTTGTTTTGGAAACAGAAGCATCAGAACCTGTTTTTTTCCAAGTCAAAATACGGATCCAGCTAGCCCAGAGCTCTGGCTGGCCACGGCTCTCCAGGGCCTTGGGCAAAGATCTTCCCCGTCTCTATTTCCCTGCTGAAATCCTTTAAATGGAGCTGATGGAAGTTCAACCCGAGAATTCAAGTGTACAAACTGTGTGCTGCTGTATCGCTGAGCTGCTGTTATTCTGCTTGAAAAAAAAACCATCTGGAACCTCAGGTCCTGGAGCTGAATCCAGGGCTCCCCGGCTCCCTAAAAAGCTGGGGCTCCTTTCCCAGGACATTTCTGTCTGAGAGTTTCCTAGCCTTGGTGCCCTTCCCTCCCATTTCTAATACTATGAAATGCCTTGTGCTTAGTTATTGGCAGCATGAGCTATTCTAGAATTTTTGGTCCTGCTCTCTTGCGTTCAGTGCCACCCACCTATGGAATCCCCCACCCTCACACACACACAACTTCTATGAAGCTGAATTTGACCCCTGGACTGAAGCAGACCCCCCACTCCCCGCTGCACCTAGTTTGCCCTAAAACTAATTTCATAACCCTTTCCCTGATCAGACACTATATACAGTGGTGCCTCGCTTAGCGAGTGCACCGTATAGCGATGTTTCCGTATAGCAATCCCTTTTTCGGGATCGCTATACGGAAACATATATATCTATCTATCTTCATCACTTCCCTTTCCTCTTTAATGTTTCCTAGAAATTGGCTTTTAATTTCCACCATGGGAGAAGCCTGGGCGGGGGGCTCTTCTGTTTTTCTGTCTAGAACCTCACACCTTTGTCTCCTTTCCCAGATGGTACTTTGGGAAAATTGGCCGCAAGGATGCTGAGAGGCAGCTTCTGTGCTACGGTAACGCCCGAGGGACCTTTCTCATCCGTGAGAGTGAGACTACCAAAGGTATTTCTGTCCCAGCAGCCCCCTGCCCCCCCCCAACCTCCAGGTTAGGAGATGCCCATCTTAGGTTTGCAAAGGTCTGCCGTTCTGCCAGCGTACCAACATATCTGGTTTTGGATGGAAGGGATACTGCCGTTTTTCCTTTTAATTAATTATTTTCTTCAAAAAATTATTTCTTAAAATGTTTATCACTGCATCGCTTCATCAGTACGTTCAGCATCACAACCACCTACCTTGTTCTCTCCATTTGGCCGACGAAAGAGCCAGTGGAGCAGCAGAGGACCAGCAGGTGCAGAGTGGGTGCGCCTGGACATGGAGGACGGAGCGCATGCCGGGAGCATTGTCCCATAAAGTACAGTGGTGCCTCGCATAGCGAGGTTAATCCGTTCCGGATTAACCTTCGCTATGCTGAAGCATCGTTGAACGGGGCAGGGAATTCCATTGGAACGCATTAAACATGGTTTAATGCGTTCCAAATGGGCCAAATACTCACCGTTCAGCGATGCTTCTTAATGGCCGGCAGCCATTTTCGCGCCCTCACCTCGTTTAACGAGGGCGCGAAAACGCTGTGCGTGGCCATTTTGGGCCATTTCCAGGCTTCCGGCGGCCATTTTGGCTGCTGAACAGCTGATCGTCGGGCTTCGTTTTGCGAAGATCGGTAAGTGAAACGCTTACCGGTCTTCGCAAAGCGAATTTTGCCCTATTAGAAAAACGTTGAGCGATCGCATTAGCGATCCGAAAAAACGGATCGCTATGCGATTTCGTCGTTATACGGTGTGCTCGTTAAGCGAGGCACCACTGTAGCTAGAAGGCTTCCCCCCTCCCATTCTCATTTCTTGTCATCATTAATTGGAACGGGGTCACCTCTCCAGTGTTTCCTCCATAGTTTCTAGAGATTACTATGACACCAAAGGGCCCCTTCTAGACACTCGATTTATCGATGTATCACTTTAAAAAAAAACAAGACCTTTAAAACCAGCATGCTCCTAAAACAGAAAGGAAATTAGTCAATTTTAGCAGTGAAGATGCCAAAACCAGTTTAAATCACCAGGAATAAATTGATTCCCATTCAGTGCATGTGAATGTGGCCTCCAGTTTAAATACCACGTGACTTGAACCTGATTTTTTAAAAAGTCTGAACAGAAATTGATTTGAATGGCCAGTGCGACCACAGCCTTATACATGCTCCTTTTAAAATGTGATATGGAAAACAATAGGATCTTAAGACGTTTACATTCAGCACATTAGATTTCATCTTGAATGGCTCTTACGTGTGCTGCAAAAAGGAAAAGCAACAACGGGCAAGAAACTTTGATTCTCCATTTTGAAAACACGAAAGAAACCTTTTGAGAAATTCTCTCCAGTGAAAAGCTCACTAGCTCCTTGTATATACTTAGGGGTCTTAATCATCTTGCAAAATGCTGCAAATTTCCCAGATGAGACAAAAATGCTCCACAGGAGGTGAGATTGCAAGAGTTTTTAATGCTCCCCTTTTCTTTCTTTCTTTCTTATTTTTTCTTTTTCTTTTTTCTTTTCTTTTCTCCTTTTTTTGCATTTAGGTTCCTTTTCTTGAACAAAAAGTATTTTGCAAAAGGGAGCTTTATTTTGCACAAAAGTTTGTAATTTTTGCAAAAATCCCGTACTTTGTGCAAAATACATTTTTTTAACAAATTTTTTCCCCCTAAATGTAAGGCTTCTTTTTGCAAAATCCAAATTCTTTGCTAAATGCTACTACAAAAATCATGGTTCTTTTTGCTCTCACTCAAGCACAAAACAATCAAAATCCTGCAAAAGTTGATGATTTTTTTTCAAACGAATGTCTTGATTTGTTGAAACATCTGTTATCACTGAGGATGAGCAAATGTGCAAGCATTATATATTTAGTCCTGCATCAAAGTTTATGCCTTTTGATTACACTAATAAAAGAACTGGAATTTGTCTGGTGAATAATATGACCACTCCTAATTTTTATAGTATTTTAAGGATGCTGAACAATAGGAAATATTCAGTTTATCTCCTGATGCATTTCTATCTGCTGGCTGATTGTGCATTTACATCTCAAACATCTACGTACATGAATATTAAGAATACCAAGTTTAATTCAGGAAGGGAGGCAGGGGCCAATTTAGGACAGATTTAAAGTATCCCCATAAAAGTCAGTTTTACATTTTGGAAAAGCATTTTGGAAATCCACAGTAGTTGTAATCCAATTAAAATGCATTAATTTTATTTTGATAATAAAGGATTTGCTTTTTTCGAAAAAATCAATTCGCGAGAAGGATTTACCCTCTATCGCACTAGTTCCCAGATGTTTTTGGGCTGAAACTCCCAGAAGCCTTCACCATTAGCTGGCCAGGATTTCTGGGAGTTGTAGTCCAAAAACATCTGGAAACCCAAGATTGGGAAGTACCGCTCTAACCTAACTAACTCATCTCCTTCCATTAGGTGCCTACTCACTGTCAATCCGGGACTGGGATGAAATGAAGGGAGACCACGTCAAGCATTATAAGATCCGGAAACTGGACAATGGGGGGTATTATATCACTACTCGGGCCCAGTTCGAGACTGTACAGCAGCTTGTCCAGCATTACATAGGTAAGTGTGTGTGCCTCTCTCTCTCTCTCTCTCTCTCTCTCTCTCTCTCTCGGAAACGGGACAATGGGGGGTATTATATCACTACTCGGGCCCAGTTCGAGACTGTACAGCAGCTTGTGCAGCATTACATAGGTAAGTGTGCGTGCCTCTCTCTGTGTGTGTGTGTGTGTGTGTGTGTGTGCACCTGCAAGAGACTGACCTATCAACCGGAAACTTTGACTCTATGCTTTTCCCCGTATAAATAGATATACTATGTTTCCCCAAGAATAATACAGGGTCTTATATTAATTTTTTCTTTAAAAAACACACACACATTAGGCCTTATTTTCAGGGGATGTTTTATTTTTTTCGTGTACCACCATATACATTTATTCAAACACAGTCATATCATCTTCTGGTTGCTGCACAAGGTTTGAGGGCAGGGTTTCACTTAACTGGGGCTTAATTTTGACCAAATTCTGGGAGGCAGTGGAAGACCGGAGGGCCTGGCATGCTCTGGTCCATGGAGTCACAAAGAGTCGGACACGACTTAACGACTAAACAACAATAACAGCAAAGTTTGGGGTACAGCGTATATTGCAAGCATCCTGAAAAATCATACTAGGGCTTATTTTCAGGTTAGGTCTTATTTTCCGGGAAAAAGAGTATATATTTCACTCCTCAAAATAAGCACCAGGGCCCAAATTTAGGGGGGATTAGAAGCCACAATCCCTAAAAACAATGTAAGGACCACTGTTGTGTGTTACACAGAGGAGGAGAATAGAAATATTAGGAGTGTGTGTGTGAGAGAGAGATTGTGATCTTTCATGATAATAAATATATGCCGCCCAGTTGATTCCAACTTATTGCGACCCTTTCCAGGATTTCCTAGGCATGGAGAACTCAGAAGTGGCTTGTTTCCCCATTTTTCTTGGATGAGCTACACAAGCTGGCTCTGCTGTTCTCCTGGGATGCCTGGTGGGAATCAAATTCCTGACCCAGCCAGCATCTCTTTCCTACCACGTGCCAAATTCTTTTTTTCAGTGCAAGTTTTGGGAACCTTTTTCCTGCTGTGAGCAGGACTGAAGGCAAAAGAGCAAGGAAATGACCCCATATTTCAGTTCAAGCTCTTGCTACTGATCCACTTTGGGAGAAGAATTTCTGACTCTCTGAATGGGGTGGGGTGGGGGTGGAATGTACAAAAGCTGAAAGCAGAAGAGCCGAATCTCAGTGGTGAAGCATCCACTTACGCCGCAGAAGCCTCTTGCGTTCAGTCACTGGCGTTTCGACAAGCCTTGGAAAAGTCTGAAACCTTGGCCTGCTGCCACCACCAATGAGTATCTGCAGCCGTGAGCTAAATGGATCCATTGGTCTGACTTGATACTGTATAAGGCAAAGGCCTTTGTAAAAACCAGGTGGTTATTTAACAGGGTCTTTGCTCAGCTCAAATGAACCTGCCATGCATGCAGAAAATCCCTGTTTCATCTCCAGCTTTCCAACTTTAGAGAGCGTCCAGAAGTAAGGACAGAACTAGAAATGACACACTGTGTTAATGAGATAGTAGTTTTTGTAACAACTAAATACCAGGAGTACGAGTAGGGTGTGGTTATTCTTTAGAAGTGATGGCACTTTCCCTCTTGAGTCATAGCGAGACACAGGACATTGGAGAGGGCCTTCTCTGTCACTGCTCCCAGACTCTGGAACTCACTCCCACAGGAGGCCAGGCTGGTCAATCTTTGCTGACCTTCCGCAAGCAGGCGGAGATCTTTATCTTAAGGCAGGGTTTCCCTAAGTGACTGGTGGTCTGAGAGGGGTTTCATAAATGGATCGTTGTGCTCTCTTGTTTTTAAATGTATTTTAAGTATTGGTTTTATTTACCATTTTTAACAAACACTTGTTTAATTCTTTTTATTTAAAGAAATTGTATACTTACAATTTTTAGCTTTTAAATGTTGTCTTTTTAATGATGTAAGCCGCTTTGGGTCCTTTTAAAGAGAAAGGTGGGGTAAAATAGATAGATAGTTCTGCATTTCAGAAATGATTCTTTTCAGCACTATGTGGAGGTGCTGGGGATTGAACCTGGAGCCCTCTTCATGCAAAGTCCACTGCTATGGGCCTCCCCAAATAGATTCTGCATTCTTGTAAACGGCTTTTGCAATTTTTAGAGTGAAAAGCTGATATGGCAATATCTCCATCCAGCTGAATTCCTTCAGAGCTGGCCCCAGTGTCTGGGTGGCCTCTGATGAAAAGGGCCAAATGGCACCACCCGCATGTCACGTACAAGGGGTAACAAAAGTGGAAGCTGACCCTTCCTTCAGTAAACATCCTGCCTATTTCTCCTTCTAGCCTCTGTTTGCCAATGGCTGTCCAAATGTAGTTCCCAAACCCAGACTGCTCCCCTGACATGGCTATGGGGCAGTGTCTTCCACCACATCCAAGGATAGTGGTGGACACAGAAAGAGAGTTGCAGGAGAACACAGGTCACGCTCCCATCATCCCACTACTGCTCCTGAACCCTATCCAGCAGCGAGAGATGAGCTGTTGCTTCCCCCACTCCTCCGCGGGGGACCCAAGCAATTGCAGCGCACAAACCAAGAGATGGCCTTGGGCCCCTCAGCCTCCCCTCAGGCTGACTTAACCTCTGGATCAAACAACTCTGACATGGATCAGAGTGGGGGGACTGGGGCCCTCCAGATGTTTGAGTCTACAATACCCCTTAGTTCCACCACGAAGGTAGATGTTGCAAGTGAAAACATTTGGAGGGCCAAATGTTCATCAGGGTACGGGCCAAGCATCCACCAGCCCTGTCTAGTCCCTTTAGCACTAAACAGAATTTATCTTGCGTCCATGTCCTATTCGTGGAAGATCTAATGATGGCGACACAGTTGCCAGCCCTTCAGTTCCCTGTCTTGCTGTGCTGTTTCCCTGCCGCCTTTCCTGAGATGGAAACAGCAAGCGCTCAGTTTCACCATGTGCTGCCCCCTAGAGGTGTGAACAATATTTCCCAACTCTGTGACCTGCTACGTGTTCCGTGTTCCTGTTTCAACTCTCTTTCTCTCTTCTCTTTTTCTAAAACGTGTCACTGCCTCTCTGGCTCCGTGCCCTTGTATCTTGGTGTCCTTCTGCCAGAGAGAGCTGCAGGGCTTTGCTGCCGCCTCGCCGTGCCGTGCCACAAGGGGATGCCTAAGCTGGCAGACCTGTCCGTCAAAACCAAAGATGTTTGGGAGATCCCACGCGAATCGCTGCAGCTCATCAAGAAGCTGGGCAATGGGCAGTTTGGGGAAGTGTGGATGGGTAGGACGGACCCTCTGAACCCTGGCGACTGAGCCTTCCAATGGAGGAGGAAGAGCACACCACAGCCTGGGGCCACACTTGCAGGTTTACAGGGGAGGCATTACAGATCCCCAAAGGAATTTCAGCAGACGACTTCAAACCTATCCTAGTTATAAGCAGACCTTGGAAAAGGTCCCTATTTTGGACCATACACTCCCAGAGTCCCTCATCCAACACAGGGAATTCTAACTAGGGAATTCTGGAAACTGTTGTCAAAAAAACCACAAACCCACCAAAACAAAACAAACTTTTGTGGTGTACAGTAACAGGAAAGATACAGGAATTTGGTCATGGATTCCTGCTCTAAATGTAAGCCAAGGACACCCCCTGGTGGTCAGAACAGATATTGCCAGATTGAGAAAGTGAGTGTGTACCAGCTCCTGCTCTTCCTCCTCCTGGGGTTCCAGCTGCCTCTCCCACGTGCATGCCGAAGTCATCATTCCATTTTGCATCTCACTCTTTCTCCCTCATTCATCCCATCCCATCCCATCTCCCCATTCCCCCCACCTCATTCCATCCTCTGCAGAATACAATGATGGTCTTTGCTACCTACTAACCAAGGTCTGTCCCAATTTGAAGCCCCAGACTATGGGACTCTCTAAGGATGCGTGGGAAATCATGCGCGAGTCCATACGCTTTGACAAGAAGCTTGGCATGGGATGTTTTGGAGATGTGTGGATGGGTAAGGCAGGGGTCTTGTGTATGTGTTCTCCTGCACAGAGTTCTGGGGAGGAGGGGACTATAGATATTGGGAACCCCATAGAGCTACCGAACTAAAATGAAATGGGGTGGGTCCCCCCCCAAACCCATGGGGTGGGTCCCCC